CGGCGATGATCGAGAGGATTCTTCCGACGATGAGGCTTCTCCGGAAGCGCCACCCGGGGGTGCAGTGCTTAAAGATGGTGCAGCATGGAATTCTTCCAGTGGCAAACCTCGGGAACCTCCCGAATGGGGCGCATAAACATGGGCAGAACTGCTGTGTGGAGCGATGGAAGGGTATCCGCTTCCACTAGCAACGGCATCAGCCCTACTGCCCGAATGTGACTCCCTTCCAAATGCAACTTGCGCCTCCTGCAACTTCTGGGCCATCTCTGTAATGTATGCGGTGCCAGTTGAACCATACAAGGCGGCCTCAAGAGCAGGTAAGTGTGCGCTGCCTGTGCTAGGCTGAACGCTGGGTAGCGGTTGCTGCTGTAGATTTGTTGGCGGCCCCCCAGAGATCATTACGCCCAAGCTGCCCTCAGCAGGCACTAGGCCCGAGACTCCATAAGGATCAGGTAGTGCAAAAGGACCTGCTTCATGCTTATCGCCCTTTAATGATGGATGCATGTCGATAGCGCCTCTAGAAGCAGATAAGACATATCGTCCAGCCGCTCTGCCATACGGGTCTTCACCAAACTGTGGTAGCCTCGAAGAGGCCAANATAAGACATATCGTCCAGCCGCTCTGCCATACGGGTCTTCACCAAACTGTGGTAGCCTCGAAGAGGCCAACAAGGATGTGAACTGACCTTGAACAGGCAATCCAGATGCTTCGCCGACGACGAATGACCCACTATTTTGGGGATACTCTAGCTGCGCAGTAAGCTCCTGGTGGGGATTTGAAAGGTACACAGATGGAACTTGACTAAACGGTTGCTCTGCTGACGCGGGTAATGTCATACGGCTTGCATGCTGCTCCTCCTGTTGCTGTGGAGCGGAGTGCGCCCCTTGATATGTCGAACGGGCTCCAGGCAGCAGGACGCCTGAGTGGTGGATGGGTCCAACTCCCGGAAAGCTTCCAAAGGTGGTGGGTGCAACCATCTGCAACCCCGAAACTCCTTGCGGCGACTGCGCGATCAAGGGCACTGCAATGTTAGCATGTGACAGAAAGGAATCTCCCGATGATGATGCTTGCCCAACACCGCCACCAAGATACACAGTGCTTGAAGATGATATACCTGATGGCGGCGTAAAAGATGCTGACGAAAGTGCATAAGAACGTTGGAAAGACAAATCGGCGGCCGCAGTGCCTGTCGAAGTGCCAAGCAATTCATCACTTCTTTGTACACGAGGGCCGCCAGAGAGATGAATGGCATGTGGAACGACAGCTTGTGTGGCTTCCGATTGCGGGAGAAAATGACTTGTTGTGGTCGTTTGCAACTCCTGATAGTCGTGGGGAACGGGCTGCCATGACGGATGTGGCGTTGGCTCTATCGGTGGCAGGTATGCAGCATCATTTTCGTCGTCCGCTTCCAAACAGGTTCTGATAATATCCCACATGCCTAAGCCATCATTCCCTGAAGAGTCGTCGCCGGCCAACCGTCGTGACAAATCGTTACNATATCCCACATGCCTAAGCCATCATTCCCTGAAGAGTCGTCGCCGGCCAACCGTCGTGACAAATCGTTACGGGCTCTCAGGCCAGAACAAATACGGAAGCAGTTTAGCGTGAGGGCCACAACTGCCAGTGCGGACAACAGTCCAGCGCATATTTGGAGCTTGCTCCATGGCCGCTGGACTCTCTGCAGCACCTGCGGAACCACCTCTCCGCCTCCAGAGCTGCCAAGAGGGGCAAAGTATGTGTGGAACACTCGCCCTGTCGACGGAGTAGCGGAAGTAAGGGACGGCTCCATGGCCACGCTCCTCAAGACCATAGATTACCTCCCCATATGACTCGTCCCTAGCCCCCCCTCAAATGCAGAAATATAATAATAACCGGCAGCTAAGCAAAATATGGTTCACACTGCCCTGCGGACGCTCTTGAAGTTTATTTGGCCCAGTTATCGGCGTTGCCGTCAAGGAATTGACAGCACTAGACACCCGTCTTCAGTGATTTGCATCGACACCAATTAAAAGCGTAAACTACTAAAAAAGCATCTCCTAACTGTAATACATTGCATTCCTCACAACAGCGCGACTGGTGGACCGTGTCTCGGGAGTGCCAGTGGACTATCGAAGCGGTGACCGACAACCCCTCCGGCCGATCTACACCACAATATGCATATTCACAACCTCTATGGCACTACTAGCATACACATGACAAAAGATAACGCACATAGCAAGCACTTAACCACGAAACAGACACCTCAATTCGGTTTTAGCGGTTACCTACCTATTCGGTGTCCCCCTGCCGGAGGCTCGNCACGAAACAGACACCTCAATTCGGTTTTAGCGGTTACCTACCTATTCGGTGTCCCCCTGCCGGAGGCTCGAGGGCACAGTATGCAGAGGAAACGTAATATGGATCCTCAGCAGGCAGATGCTACAGCTGACCTTATATATGCAGATTGTGGTTATATTCGAAACTTTCTTTATTATTTTGGAGCAATACAGAGCGATACATGCGGAGACGCAATACACCAAACCAAGTCGATGGAGGAGGATCGTGCTGCTCGACCGGAACGTGGGACCAGCATTCGTCGCTGCGGTTTTGAGAATTTTCCGGTACCCATCAGTACATGAACAAGTGCAGCGCCCCTCCGGGAGGCCATTCAATTGTCTGGATGCTTCATTTGAGGGACACTTCAGAACAGCACATGCTCTCGGCTGGCACTAGCCGAACGGTGAAGGGAGGAGCAAGGGAAACGTTCACAAATGGGGAATTATTGTTAGTGCTGTGTTTAATGCTCTGTCGTTTCTTAATCATGTCTCTCAAAGCGGTGGAGCTAGGTATGCGTATGGCATGATCCCTTCGGCATCACACGCCGTGCGACAGAGTGTCTTGGCTTTCCACTAAACGGGCTTTCTAGCTTTCTCAACATCTCAGAGCAAGTTTTCGCAAAGATTAGAATTGGAACGTTGACAGGGTTACCTGGCCAAAGCAATGCAAGAGAAACTCTGAACAGCAGAAGACGATACTCGCCACAAGTCTCGTCTCAAAAGGTCCGCCGAACCAGTCAATGGTTACTGTTGGCCATTGTAATGGATATGCAACAGGAACGTCCCAGCAATGTGCCAGTCAGCTATTTTGCTGTTCAGGTCCATGCCCAACTCACAAGGAATTTGGCTTCTGCGGTCCTTCTGCGCAACCATTAATCCTGCCGGTTGCTCCGGCCTGAGCAGGTGCACTGCACCAGAGTGTTCCTGGTAACCACGCCGACGATACTCCGCGAGTGCTCCGAGTTCCGTGTTGTCATTGGTCCGCAACTTCCCTTGCAGTTGCAGCTCTCGTACTACTTTATTTGCTACCCGGATAACATTCGACGCCCTCTTGGGAC